TTTTTTTTTTTTTTTTTTTAAAGACTAAGCTTCTGACCAACATAGAATAAGATCCCATTACAAGACTAGTGAGGGAAAATCTATCTAGAAATTATTTTTAAACCAGTCATCATTGTGGTGCTTGGTGGCAGTCTCCTGGGGAATACACTGTTGTGTTATATTACCTCCTTGGCTCTTTACAGATCAGCAAGTCGCTCGGATGGAAAAACTAGCTGGTTTGGTAGAAGAGCTGGAGGCCGACGAGTGGCGGTTTAAGCCCATTGAGCAGCTGCTGGGGTTCACACCCTCTTCAGGTTGATGCTGCCTGGATGGTCACCTCTGGTGGGAAGCGCAGAGCCAGCGAGGGACTTTCTCACAGATTACATAGCCATCCAGAGATTCACAGCTACATCACTGAATTGTTAATTCACATTTGTACTTGGTGTCTCTGTATCTATCCACAAGCAACAAATACTTAAACATGTTATCTTGCAGGGAAAATTTGTGTTTATTTGTTTTAAAAAGTATTGGGAATCAGATTAAGACAATCATTTTCAGGGAACCAGGAAGTTTAGGTTTAAGAGATATTTATAAAATTTTCACGAGCCAGGTAGGGCACATGCCAGAATTGGCCAACTGCATGGCGTCTGTCCTGTCATCCATACAGTGCCTGGAAATCTTCACCAGTCAAGTCCAAGGTCAGGATCTATGGTTATAAAATACATTTCTGATCTAAAACAGTTCTTTCTGCAGATGAATGTGATTTCAACTCAGGACCTGTCCAAATGAATTTTCAAATGTTTGGGTTTTTTCTATTTTTAGACATCTAATTCAATAGATTTTAATTTTTTCTAACCTCTTCTAAATATGCCAAATGCTGGCAAAAAGAATTGCTTTTTGAATATTGCAGCATTTGTAAAAATAGCAAAATACTTTTAAACACAGAGATCTTGAGTTCATCTCATTGGTGGACTCAAGCAATTCTATAGCAAATAAATCCTCTGAAAGAGCTCCAGATTGGTGTCTTTATCCTTTCAAAGCATCAGGGATTTGGGATAGAGAGAAGAGGTCAAATCATTTTTTACAACAAGGGAATCTAAAAACCATTTCTCCTTTGGTAGATTTGCTTTACTTCAGGGATATTTGTCTTCATAGAAGTATATGGATTTATTTTACTGATATTTCAGTAGGTTTTTATCCCATGATAGGGAAAATCCTGGGAGGCTAAGAGGTATCCTTTGGTCTCCCTCATGGGACCCCAAGGTCCACACTGCACAGTTAAGAGAATCATTTATTGTAGTGTCTGCAAATTTTGCCTTAGACAACATTTGGCTTTTTCCTCATTAATAACTTTTACCTGATCTGCTTAGAGTTGCTTAATTATAGATAAATATAATCCCAGTAGCAATTGGCCTTAATCTCAGAAGTTCAAAATGTCTATCACGTACTACCTGCCAGGGAGGTGGTGACCTCATTCAGTCACTAAGGAGTCTGAGCCCAGTGAAGTTAAAGACCTGCTCATAGTCACATAGCCCAGGCAGAAGAAAACCTTGGAACTTGGAATAGATCACAGTTGCTTGATAATTCAGCTCACTATTCTTGTCTCTAAAGCCAATCAGAGCACAAGAAGTACCAGCCACAAACTCACCTTTTTCATATCACTATTTCTCAACCAAAATAAATAAGTTCTATGTTTGAAAGCATTTGAGTTTCCTAACAGTACTTTTTAGTATCAATCATCTTCATAATTACCAAGGGAAAAATTAAAAATACCTAGACCACAATAAATCTTTAAATTGGATTTTCAGTGACAATTTAGGAGCAATCACTACCTTCCTCTTAATTTTTCATTTGTATAACTGTGCAGCATAGGCACTGTATTACCTCATCTTTACCCTTGGATATTTGAACTTATTATAAAATTTTTTCTCTAAGTTGGACATATTTTTTTGCTCTCAGCAGAATCAGACATTTTTTTATATGACCTTAGAAATTGAAGAGATCAGGCCAGGCGCAGTGGTTCACGCCTGTAATCTCAGCACTCTGGGAGGCCGAGGCGGGAGGATCACTTGAGCTCAGGAGTTCAAGACTAGCCTGAGCAAGAGTGAGACCCTGTCTCTACAAAAATAATAGAAAAAAAATTAGCCAGGTGACTAAAAATAGAAAAAATTAGCCGGGCATGGTGGTGTGTGCCTGTAGTCCCAGCTCCTTGGGAGGCTGAGGCAGGAGGATTACTTCAGCCCAGGAGTTTGAGGTTGCTGTGAGCTAGGCTGATGTCACAGCACTCTAGCCCAGGCAAGACAGTGAGACTCTGTCTCAAAAAACAAAAAACAAACAAACAAAAAAAAGTCTCAGAATTACAGAGCTGGAAGAGAACTTACAGATCATCTAGTTCACCCCTTGTTTACAGACAGGAAGTCAGGACCTTGTCTGTATTCTCAGTACCTAGAACACTATCTGGCAGGTAGTAGGTGTAAAATAGGTCTTTGTTATGTAAATAATGCATGAATTTATGTGTTTGCCCTATTTTAGAAACTATACTAGCTAGTTCCAGTGCAAAATCCATAGTGGAATAATGGCTGGAGTAATTTAGATAGTGGGCAGAGCCAAGACTATAACCTAGATCTCAGCCCAGAGCTCCTTCTATAATGACACACTGACAGGAAGCTGTGGAACAAATGGAAACTGTTCCAAAGCAGCCAGGTCTCACGTGACCCCATCCATGTGACGAGCCAAGGCAAACGAAGCTGGTGGCTGCCTGGCCTCCTCACAGCCTCCTACACACGGGCCTGGTGGTAGTGCCATGTGTCAGCGTCCACATGCTAGTCTCCACCTCTCAGACACTTTAACTCCTCCAGTCTTTCAAGTTTCCCTAGGAGAAGTTGTTCTCCTAAATCAGCCTGTTTCATTTTTATAATATAAGCTGTTTAGAGCAGGTAATGAAACAACATACAATTTATTACTACCAAAATAGAGGAAATGTTGCTTTCCAAATGTTTCAGCGGACACTTAGTGGGCACTTACTGTGTGTCTAGCATCTGCTAGATGCTGAGGATATGCTGTAAAACAAGACACAGTCATCAACCTCAAGAAGTTTACAATTAAATATTAAGAGAAACAAAAAGGTAAATTTAAGTGTAAAAATTTCTGTGGTAGGGGAAAGCACGAGGTGCTGTAAAATCCCATCGAAGAGGCAGCTGATCCAGCTGGGCAAGGGGTCAAAGAAGGCATCCTAGAAGGACAGTGTTTAGGCTGAGACCTGAAGAAAAAGTGGATCGGGTGGGAAGGAAGGAGAGAATGAAATAATGCGTGGGCCCAGGGTGGGAAAGGTCACCATGCTTTTGTAGGGCTGCGAGTGGTTTGTTTTGGTTGACTCACAGAGTATAAGGGCAAGAATGGGACAGAGAGCAGGACCTGGTGGGCTTCGCTAAGGAATTTGAACTTCAACCAGAGGACAATGGGGAACCCCTTAAAGGGCTTGAGGTAGGAGAATGAAAAGACCTGGTTATGCTTCAGAAAATTTAGTTGGAGGGAATGGTGGGGAATTGGCAGTGGTAAGACCCAGATTCCTTAGGAAGCTGCTGTGGAAATCCAGGTGAGAGATTCTGCAGCCGGAATTAAAGATGTGGAGACAGGAGGATGGATTTGGTTTGAGAGTTACTCAAGAAGTGTCATATGTAGGACTTGGTGACTGGTGGGACTTGGATAACTCAGGGAGGACACCCAGGTTTCTTGTGTCAGGAGCTGAAGGACTGGTGGTACCAGTCACTGAGACAGGCGTAGAGAGAGAGGAGCAGGCTCAAAGAGATGTCCAATAGGCTCTATGTGTCTATAGTCCAGGAGGGTGGGCTGGGCTGGAGTTAGACCCGGGCCTCACCAGCCTAGAGATGCTTATTAAGCCAAAGGTGGAGATAGACAGAAGATCCCAGGAGAGCTCCTGGAGTGAGGAGAGAATTGCACCAAGGAGGGACCCTTGAGGAACTCTGACATTGTAAGGGACCGGCAGAAGACGATACCAGGAAAGCAACTGGCAGGAAGTCACCAGACAGACAGCAGGAAAACTAGAATGTGGCGTTAGGGAAGCCAAGGGGAAAGGACATTTTGAGAAGGAGGCTGCAAACAGCAAGTGTGTGCTGCAGCCAAGCAGTTGGGTGAGGGGGATGGAGAAGGCCTGGGAGAGGCTCTCACCAAGGAGAGCGCTGGTGAGCCTGTCTCAAGAGCAGCCGTCTCAGCGGTGTAGTGGAGGCAAGGCAGGCCACCATGGTGGGAGGGCGAGTAGAAGGGGAAAGTGGGACCACATCCAGGCAACACTTTCAAGAAGTTCCTCAGGAAGAGAGGCAAAAATTAGGGACTGAGGCGAGAGCTAAAGGAGGACACATTGTCAAGGGTTTGTGTTTTTTCTTTGACTATGGGAAGGGACAAAGAGAAAGGGGCTGATTGGGGGTGAGGTCCCTGAGGAAGTGGGAGGAGATGGGGTCCAGAGCCCAGTTGGTGTGAGGGAGGGGAAAGGATGGGTAAGCGTGTAGGTGAGGTGGCAGGAAGCTGAGGGAGGTTCCCAGCTGATGGCCTCTATTTTCTCTGTGAAGGAGGAGGCAAGTTGGTGCACTGCCTGTGTCCCAGGGTCAGAAGGATTGCCAAGCCCTTTTACGGGCCTGTGCAGTGACAGCCCATGAATTTGCAATGGCACCAATCTTTGGGAAAGTACACCAGCAGCTCCCAACAGCCTGGCAGTAGGAATGGAAAAAATGAACAGTGGTGGTTAAGGTTTTGCATGGTAAGGGCAAGGGGGTAAGCAAATTGTCGGTCTAGGATAGAGGGAAGGAAGTGAAAACAAGAAGGGGTTGCCAGAGGGAAACTAGCAGGGTCAAACATTTCTTAAGGGCCTACTATGGCACAGGCAATATGTAGAGAAACCGAAATTAAATGATAGGGCAATAGTTCCCAAACCTGGCTATGCCTCAGAATCCAGCTGAATAAAAATACAGACTTCCTGGCCTCATTTCTGGGGTCCAGTAGGTCTAAGGGCAAGGGGGTCAACCGCATGTCACTCTTACATCGTGAGCTTTGGGAGGACTTGGACCAGGGGAAGAAGCAGATGAGTAGACAGACACGAGGAATATAAACGGTGTGGTAAGTCCACAGCCCTGGTCTGCACAGGCTGCTGTGGAAGCCAAGAGGGCTTGGAGGTGGGAATGATGGAGAAATGGCAAGGAACATTTCCTAGAGAAGGTGAGCCTGTGCTTGAGCATGACTGGTGTGTCGGCGCTAGCCCAGCAAAAGGGGGAAGGCGTCAAAGAAGCATTCTGAGCACAGGGAGCAGCACGCGCCAAGGCAGGAACCGCAGGCCATTTGGTGTGGCTGGAGCACGGAGCATAAACAGGGGAGTGGTGAGAAGTCTCAGGAGAAGGAAGCAAGAACCAGACTGTTCTGAGCCCTGTTCACCATGCTCCACTTTCCATCCAGAGAGCATTTTTCTAAACAGCCAAGGACGCCTAAGACAGAGGCCAAGAATCCTGACTTTCACAATAAATAACTTAGAAAGCAGGCTCCTTTCGTGCCCTGCAGGGTTGGACCCTTAGGCGGGTAACGATGCATTGAATGTGATCTTTGCAGACCACTAGGTGGTGAACGGTATTTTTGCTCTGCCTAGAAACAGCAGTCACAGATTGTTATTTATTTACTTTTAGGGAAAGGCATATGTCCTAAGCTGACAAAGAATTACTGAAGGAGCCTTCCTTCTGGGCTCTGAGCCAAAAGCCAGGATAAGAGGCAGCACGAAGTGATCAAATTTAAAGTCTGTGGATATCTTAGATGTTTTTCCCTCAAATGTTTTCTCCTCCTTTTTTCCCTGGGCCCTGAAAGCCCGAAGCAAACTCTCACATCCTCTCCCTCCCTCTTTGTTCTCAGAAATGTCCAGGCATGTATTTGAAGATAAACCACACAAACACGGGCATTTCATTTGTTTAGCAAACCAAGAGGTCATGTTTGGGGGAGCTGTTCAAGTCACACTCTCCC